GCATTTTAATAACTGTATTTCAATATAATCGGTTTTCTTTAATATTATGCATTTCATTTTAATGTATTTTAAAACGTTATTCCAAAGAGGTACAGAGATTTTTCTGACTACCAAAAAAGATCAAGAAATTCTATGACTTTTAAAAAAAGAGAGAGACACTAAAGATTTCTGATTATGGGAATAACCGAGTCGGAGCTATGTTTCAGAAAGATCAATCCGGAAGCTTTTTGGAGGTTGGATTAATGAAAGAATAGAATACAGGCAAGTAAGTCAATCAGGAGGCTACTGAAGTAGTACCTATAAGAAAAGAAATGTGAGCTATAACTAGCAGGGTGACTTAGCAGAAATAAGGAGAATGATAAGAGAGGTATGGAGGTATAATCCGTAAGATTTAGAAACTGATTACATATCGAAGCTGAACAACAGTAAGGAGTTAAGGGTTCCTCTGAGGCTATGAGCTTAAGTAACCAGAAGGATGGCAGTACCATTAATAGATACAGGGAAGTTTGGAGGAGGGTCTTTGCATTCCAAGTGGCTAGCAAAATGACCTGTTAACATGAGGCACTTAATACTTGTTGAGTTGAACAGAACTGGAGAAACCCTTTTACAACAAACCAGTTGTGATATACTATACAAACATGATGAAAAAATAAGGTATGTTCAAAATAATGCTAATAAAAATTAATAGCTAACATTTATATAGCCCTTACTACATGTCAGGCACTGTGCTAAGCACTCTGCAATTATCATGTCATTTGATCCTAACCACAATTCTGGGAGCTATGCATTATTATTATTATCCCCTCAGAAATAAGGAAACGGAGGCAAACAGAGGGTGAGTGACTCCCTCAAGGTCACACAGCCAGAAACTGTCAGACACCAGATTTGAGTCTTGAGTCAGGTCTTCCTGACTCTGGGCCGAGCGCTCTATCCAATGTGCTACCCCAAAAGAAATGAGAAAGTGATTATAATTTCATACCTAAGTTCAAACAACGTAAATCAAATGCCATAATGGAAAAACTGAATAAGCCTCAAAAGCTAGGTTAGCAAACACTTGACTTACTTTCCAGGCAGAAAGACAAAGCAGCCAACTGAAATAATTAGTTTAGAATATAAGTGAATTTGTAAAATGTTATGGAAACCGCTAGATGGTGCAGTGGAGAGTGCTAGACCTGGAGTTGGGAAGATCAGAGTTCAAATCTAGCCTCAAACATTTATACTAGTTATGTAAATGTAGGAAAGTCTATCTGCCTCAGTTTCCTCTTCTGTAAAGTGAAGACAATAATACCTACCTCCCAGAGTTTTTGTGAGGATTAAATGAAATATTACCTGTAAAGCACTTTGGAAATCTTGAAGTACTCTATAGATGCTAGCACACATTCTATTTCTTCCTCTCTCCATATATCTATGTATACACGTGTATGTATATGTGTACATACATATAATTATGAGCATAATTATAAAGTAGAGAAATGCAGCAGAAAGAAAAAACAGTTTAAAGAAAATTTGGTGAGAGAGTCAATGGAGGAATGTCATTAAGGAAGGAGCTCAAGAAGACAACAAAGGATAGAAAAAGATTTTTATAACAAACTCTTTTCACCATCATAGAAAGCAGACCCTCCACATGTGGACTCTAACATCAAACCTCAGAGGTGCTTATAAAAGGTAGAAATGGCACTAAGGAAGAAAAATGGGAAAAGCAGTTGGACAAGAAGTATACAGAGAGACAATCTATGCTAAGTAGCCCAGTGTGAGGGCACTGAGCGAGAAATTCACAAGGTGTATGAAGAAGGGAAATATGCCAAAGACAGGGAAAAAACCCAAAGTTTTAACAGGATAGGAGCTGAAGACTAAACCTGTGATTTCAATGGCATTTTGTCATTTGGTTGATTAGTCACGTCCAACTCTTTGTGACTACATTTGGGGTTTTTCTGGCAAAGCTATTGAAGTGGCTGCCATTTTCTTCTCAAGCTCATTTTACAGATGAGGAACTGAGGCAAACAGGGTGAAGTGACTTGCTCAGGGTCACACAGCTAGTAAGTGTCTGAGGCCAGAATTGAACTCCACTGGAGATCTACTCAACACTCTGGAAGCCTTCCACTGAGCCACCTACCTGACCTATTTCACTGGCACAGGAAACTCCCAAATGAGAAAACTCCCTCTACTAACGTATGCCTGTACCTTGTTTGTAACTTAGAGTCTTAAAAGAGCTGTATAGAGCATTGATGGGTTAAGTGATTTGCCCAGGGTCACACAGGTTTATGTTTCAGAGGGGTGACTTTATTAACAAAAAAGAGAAAGAAGAAACAGGCAACTGAGAGAAGAACAAATACTACTAACCTACATGCCTACATTCCCACCTATGTTAGGAATAAAATTATCTATAAGATTTCCTTGCCCTGTTGGCTGGGTTACCCAGGTAAATGTATCCTTGTTGAATACCCTTTTTGTGGTATAGCAAGTAAACTTTTTGTTAAAAATAGAATGAACTATGAGTGTCTCATTTTGTTCCAATTCCAAACCTGTAACCTGTTACACCATCTATATAAAATTTTTATGAGGATAATTTATATATGCATCAAGGGCATTCTTGATGAAGGTATTAGAGAATAAGCAGGGGTTTTTGCAAATGATATTCTACAAGGGACCACACTTTTACAACCAAACATATGTAGAACATACAAGATACCACTGTACTTACTGTTTGATTACCATAAAAAGCTTTGGTTTTATTAGAGTAAAATGCACCATTAAAAACTGTCTCACATGCATACATCAAAATTATGCAAAAGTGTTTGAAGGACTTGAAAGGTAAACTTGTCTAATTACTGCCTTCAAAATTATCAAATAAGGAATAAGATAGGGACGTATATGCTCACCAAAGGTGACTGCCACTGTCACAGAAGAGATCCAGTGCAGAGTTTAAGTTAAAAAGGGGTTTTCTATGGATGCTGAGGCTCATCAGATGTTCTTATTTTATAAAAGATATGTTGCTGGTTGTATCAAAGCCCAGGACAGTGCAGAGGCTCCTGGATGAGATTCACACCCACTCAAAAGAGTTTAGTCTAACCAGTCATCCAGAGGGAAAAAAACAAACAAACCAACTAATAAATGCTACTTGTCCAGACTATGACTTTCATCTAGATGGACAGCCAGGATAAGCCTGCCCACCCCAATGGATACTTTTGGACAAAAATTTCAAATGCACATAAATTCTACCCATAATTAAACAGGAGGAAGAATAAAAGAAGACTGGATGGACTTTCAAAAATCATTCAATGATTTCAAACTTCTCCCTAAAACAAAGGCTCACATTTTTAAAAAAAACTTTACATTGAATCCCTTTTCATTCACGCAGAGAGCCATCCTTCATAACAAAGAATAAAAGAGTGGGAAAAAAGTTCAGCCAAACTAACCAACATATCAAAAGTCTGATATTATACGCCATGTTTTAGACTCATAGTCCCCAAGCCCATCTTTTTAATACCAATAGTCTGCTGGTCATGTTGTATGTCTACGGGTCACGTAAGACTACTGTCTCTAAAGAAATAAAATTGATAAATACTGAGAGGACAATGGAGGTATATGGAAGCAGGCTGCAACACGTAACATATAGGAACTACAAAGAACAAAGGATGTCATCGTGGAAAAGTCAGATTAAAAACAGATGGTCTGGTTATATGTCAAGGATGAACAATAACCTGTGGATGGAATGTATGTTTCTATGATCTCCTCATACTGTCAAGACAGTAAGGCCTCCAGGGGCAAAATTATAAGAGAACACGGAGAAGAGATGCATAATAGGTTGCATGCAATTTGCAACATTAGAGGGAATATTCATCTTGACAAGAATTCATTTCAGTATGAGTACCCCCCAGCATCTGGTATAATATCATATGTATAGCAAGTATAGAATAAATTCTTACGATGAAAGTGGAAAGAGACTATAAACAGTAAGAACAGTCAGGAGGTCATTATGATAGCCCAGGCAAGACAGGAAAAGAATCTTAACTATGATGGATCTGTTATGAAAAGGAAAGAAATGATGGGAAAGATACTGCAGTGGTAGAATCTACATTATTTGACAACTAGATATGGAGTAGAGAGAAGAATGAAAAGATCAAAGCCAGCTCTGAGGTATGTTTCGTATGTTACTTGGAGGATGGTGGTGATACAGAAACAGAGGTTTGAGGAAGGGCAAATCTTTTGGAAGCAACTTAGTTTTGGACAGATTGACTCTCAAGTGTAGTTGGCCGTCTAGGTGGTGATGTCTACCAGGAAGCTGGAGGCACAGAACTGGCATGCTAAAGAAAAGTAAGGAGTATAGAGAAAAAAATTGGAGTCATCTCTTTAGTTATCATAAATGACATCACAAGAGTTAATGAATTTACCACAAAAGAGAAAAAAGTATAGGGAAATAAGAGGACTAAGTAAAGCAAAAGAATGCCAAATTTAAGTGGATTGAGAAAAATGAAGAGCCAGCAAATAAGACAAGAATTAGGTCACAAAGCCTGGAAGAGAACTACGGCAATGCAATGTCACAGAATCCAGGGAGGATAAATTTAATGATGAAAGAGGAAGTCAATAGGATCAGACGCTGCAGAGAAGCCAACTACAAATAATGACTAAAAAAGACCTTTGGATTTTGAGATAAGAAAGTCATTAAGACCCTTGGGAAGAACAATTTTAGCACAGTGGTGAAATGGAAACCAGAATGTGACAGGATGAGAAGTGAAGAAGTGGTGAAGAAGTCAAAAAGAATAGATTGATGTTCCTAGAATTTCTCTAATGAAATAAAGAAATTAAATATAAGGTATATCACAATGCAGGTAATCTACCAACTGATATTTTTTTAGGGTTCAATTTTATTATGAATTGTAAAAACATCATATAGTTGTGCACTCTAGATATATATAGCAGGCTTATTTTCCCACTTCGACGAATAATTGGAAGATACTGGCATTGACAACAGCAAACTGTTGTTTTATGTATTTCCTTACTTGCACTGGTGTGTCCAGCGTGAAGATGTGTTCTCCACGAACGTTATAGAATTTGACCAGGGCACTCTTCAGAAATGTACCATTGGCAATTTCAATTAGTTGGTTCTGTTTCTCCATACCAGCTACTGCAAGCAAATCTCCCTGTGTGCACCACTGGACAACCACCTCTGAAATCACAAAGACATACTCAATCAAGAACAGGAAATTGATTCACCCTAAAATTATATACAGAAGAGAGTTATAAACTTCTTAAGTATTTTTTAAAATGTAGAATCTATGGCAGAAACAATGGACGGAGGGAGGGAGAAAGAAGAAAAGGATCAAAGGGGAGAAAAGGAGAAGGGGGAAAGGGAAAAATAGGAAAGGAAGGGAGAGAGAGGGGGAAGGATGGAGGGAGAAACATCATGATTTCACCAAAAGTATGCACTCTAGATAATTTTCACTACATTAGACTCCTGTGCAAAACATCTCTTTAAGTCAATTTGGAGATCCCACATGTTAAATTATATCCTCCAAAAAATAGCTAACAAGGGCAAAAATCTGATGTAACACAGCTAGCCTAGATCATTGTGATTCTTTATCTTTCAGTAGCAGCATAATAAAGGGGCTCCATAATATTTCCAGATAGAGACTCAGCTGAAATCTGTTATGTATTTGCAGTAGATGAAATAACTACACAGGTTGTTATCTTGTAAATCACTTTTCCTACTGTTCTGTCTCCTTAAAATAACAATTTTTCTAAATGTTAAGATTAAAGTAGGTTAAATATAAAATCAAATTATTAACAATTAGATTGCCACATGAGCATTTTGTTTTAAGCAAATTCTTTTTTCCCCTTATTTCTTCACTCTTCTATGAATATATGTATACATATATACTAAAATTTTTATTCTGATTCACCATGACCTTGAGAATCATTAGAAAATAGCATAATAGGGGCAGCTAGGTGGCACAGTGGATAGAGCACCAGCCCTGAAGTCAGGAGGCCCTGAGTTCAAATCCAGCCTCAGACCAAACACTTGACACTTACTAGCTGTGTGACCCTGGGCAAGTCACTTAACCCCAATTGCCTTTAAAAAAAAATAGCATAATACATACTGGACTGTAGAGGTTATAGAATAATTTTCTCACCTGTTAGAGATGCATTTAGAAGAAGTCATTAAGTGCCCTATAAGAATGAGCTATTCAAACCAATGGCATAATAGACAGGGGCCAGCATTGGACATGGTAAGACCTGTGTCTGTCACCTCTTGCTGTCTTTATAAATTATTGGGTTTTCTGCCATACAAAACAGTCTTTGTGAGCTTGTGAATTAAATTAGTATGAATCCATGCATTTGCACGTTCCCAGAACGAAAAGTATTAAAAAGCAGTTCTGAACTCCAAGAGGTAGCACACAGTAATGGATAGAAAATTGGCTCAAAACCAGGGAGACTTAGGTTCAGGACCCAACTCTGACACATAATGCCTGTTTGAGCACAGGCAAATCACTTAATCTCTTTGTTTCCAAGGCAACTCTCTAATGTGAATCTTAAACTACAGAAAAGCTGCCAATTTGTACTTGTGGAAATTCTAATTCATATGCACTCATCGATAAACAAGGCCAAATATGGTCCCTATAACTATTTGTTAGGCAGAATGAGTTCAAAGCTAAAAGTAAAAAAAAAATTAAAGTACAGCTAGTAACAATTTCATGTTAAGCTATGGTCACACAAGCCATGTTGTGAAAGGTCTGGATCTGGGCTAAATGATTACATTTTTCATAAAAACTTTACACAAAATGTTTATTAAATATGCGGCTAACACTAGACTGAAAAAAAATGGAGGGTCTCAGGGGCTAGCTATGATTTTAGTAATATATATGTTTTTTGTCTTTCTTTCTAACTCAGTGCTTAGCACAGTGCCTGGTACATAGTAGGTGCTTAATAAATGTTTACTAATTGACTAATAAACAGGACAATTGGGAAAATCCAGAAACAAGGATCGATATGAAATTTATATTTGTTATTTATCTGAAAAAATGTCTCAAGGTACCATTGTCCATATGAGAGGCAGGAGTAGCATGATAGCCAGAATACTAAACTTGGAGACTAGATGATCTGGGTTTAAATCCTACCTTTGACTTTTATGAGCTGTGACCATGGAAAAATCACTTAATCAGAGATTCAGTTTCTTCATCTGAAAAAGTGGGGATCTACCTCATAGGGGTATTGTGAAATATGAATACAGTTGTATTGCAATATGAATATAGTCTCAAATATGAAAGCAGTTGTAAAGCACTTTGCAAATTTAAAAACCCTATAGAAATATCAGTTATTGTTATCTATCTATCATTTTCTTTCTTAATCCTTAAGTGGCATCTAGCTTAGAACTATAATTTCCTGAAGGGAAATGATGGTATATTCAGTAAAATTCTCTTCATCTTTACTCAAGCAATTAGTATGGTTCCATGTACCCATGATAATTCAAATTGAGTTTAATGAAGTTGGACAGACACCAGTGCAAGTAGAAAAAAAACAGAACTGGAAAAAAAATCTTTATTTTAAAATAGAGCAAAAAACAAAATAAATAATAAATGCATGATATGTAAAATGATAAACAAAATATGGTACAATATATAAGCATGCTGGGAAAATACAAGTATAAAACATAAGTAGTAATTTCTATTCAGCACCTTCAAACTCAAAGTTCAGAGCTAGGATTTCTGTGGAGACTTCAAATCAATTGAGATTAACAGGCATTGATCAATTACCTAAGGTGTAGGTATCACCTACTGTGATAAGGGCTGAATAAAGATTATTAGTGATTACTAAAAAGTTTGAAAATAGGATTTGTAAGAAAAGAACATAAACTTAAATTATTCTTTAATATACTATACTATGAGTTGACCAGGGATGATCATTTGTATACCATCTCCACTTCCATCCTTTTCTACTGAAGAGAAAATATGTAGCACTGAGCTTATCAAAGAGTGTATCAAAAAGATAATAGGTCCACCATGACAAAAAAATTATTTATCAATCTCTTCAGTGTATACCGATCATTGTGAGATACTATAAAAACAACTGATTATTAGGTAATCCCTGTGTTTTAGGAGATTATTATCTAATAAAGAATTCTCTAAAACTGAGTTTTAAAATGGTGGGATGAGATATCTAGTAGGGGTACTAAAATAAGTCTTCATTTCTTTTTCATTTTTATATGCCAAGAACTCAGCATAGTGTTTATTAACTGCTTACTGATCAATAGATTTTATGGAGGTCTTTTTAAAAATAGATAAAAGATGTTATTATGTGTTTCTGCCAAAGAAGACAGACAGTACTACTTGTAATAAATAGCATCATTACAGATCAGTGTGGCAGTCAAGAAGACAACCACATGACAGCAAGTATTTATGTCAACTTATCTAATGGCAATGGCCAATTTTGAAAGCTAACAGTGTACTGTTCCAGCCTCAATCCTAACCTTATTTGGATCTTGATTTCCCAGGGACACTTGAGGCTGAGAACAGAAGGAAAGTAAGGCACACAGTATTTTTAACATTCCTTCACCCCCAATCTCCTTTGGTACCATGCAGTATCACCTTCCCATTAAACAGATGGAATTATCTTCCAAAGATCATGTGGTAGTATTGCCAGTAGTAACAAATCTCAAAATGAAAAACATTTTAACTGAACTGTTTTTTGTGACTGATTTATTCTTGAAACAACAGTATTCCATAATTTTTTTTTTTTGGTGAGGGCTCCAGTACTTTCACATCAGTGTTAGTCTGGCAATAGATAAACAAAATAAAATTTCCACAAACATTTCAAGGCTACCTTATTATATCATGATTGTTTTTTTTTCTTTAAAACATCAACTAGAATCTTAAAATTAAAAGGTAATTCATTAAAAATCATATGTTCTTCACTGTTTGTAGCTATAAGCAATGACAGGAGGAGCCAGAGTCAATTTATGGTACAAATACAATGTAAGCCAGGTACAGGGGAAGAGTTGTACACTCAGGAGATGAATAGTTTAATATTCTTACATTGGCTGAGAGGAAGAATGAATGAAATTAATACCTGATTATTAGAAACATTTCTTGAAGATGAAACCAGCTTCTGATTCGTCAATAAGGGGCCTAACTGGGGTACGATCTTTATTAAAAATAGACTCCATGAAAAACAAGACAGGTCATGCCAGATGACAGGAATCAATAAATACTGGATATAAGACATACTCAGGAAAGTAAGCATGTATGTGATTTGTGGGGTGTAGAAGCTAGAGAGGAAGACAATAATGGAGACAGATTCACTCTTTTGTACCTTTCAACCCTGAGCGGATGACAGTAGGAGACAAATCATCATAGTTGTTCATTAAGCTAATGTCTCCCGAAGTGAAGCTGACAGTAAGCAGTGGTTTGATGTTCTGCACCGGTATGGGATACGCTGCTGGACCATCTGCAGGAAGAAAAGTGCAGATTAGCAAAAGGTGATGCTTACATGACACAAACCCTGGTTTACAGTGCTATACTTTACTATAGATCCACAGAAACTTAGAATGGGCTCTGGCTTGGGATGTTTTCATATTAGGCAAGCATGTTTAATATATTTTGGCACTCCCCATTTAGTACAGGTGCATACTGCCTTTCACTGTAAACTAAACTGCTAGGAAAAAGGCAGTGATATACTGAGATATGTGGTAGGGTTGCTTAGGGAGAGGGAAGCTGTTCTTTTTCTGAGGGCCCTAAAATTGATTAAACTCTCAGAAGCTTTTCTAGACAAGAAGTAGCCTGGAACTGGGTATCTCCCAGTCCACACCCAAACTTCGAGAGAAGTCTTATAGTCTCCCCAACCACCCTAGGCATAGGAACTCCCAAGGACCCTAGCAATCTAACTCCTTTTGGTATGAAATGTAGAGGACTATTTCAGAAGCCCCATGGGAAATATCAAAATGATATTGCACCTGCGTAAGCAAAACCCAAAGAATTGATACAAAGGGGCTCTTAGACATTATGAAAATTCAAGAACCTCATACTAACAAGCAACAGCTCTATAATGTACAGTTTCTCCCACGAAGAGACACTTTTTACTCTTGTTAGGAATGTCTCCTCAAGGGAATAAAAGCAGAGAATGAGGACAGCATAGTAAGAGTACCAACACAGGAAGCAAGCTGACCACCACCCACACTTGGAGGCTCTGACTGAAGTGCTACCTATGGCTGTTTCAATCCCATGACCACAAAGCGGCTGTAGCCTTCCACATACAAAGAGAAACACAGTGCCCTCGTTACTCTGGAATTTCTGTTACTTTGATATTCATTTCTCAATTTATATATTTTGACTTGTAAGAAATAAAGAGCATTCTTAGGCATCAGAAAAGTCTGAGAATATCAAAAAGGATGAATCTGCAAGACAATTTAAGTCTTCCTTTAGTACAGAACTTAAATAGGCTAATTTATCTATGTAATATCTGTGTTTCTAATTACATGAAAAAGTGAATACTTCAATCCCTTAATACAAGAAAGACGAGAGCCAGGACTAATATCTTAACTTTATTTAGTCAAACATTCTGTATAAGAGAAGTTGCCTCACAATTGCAACATAATAATTAATTTACTGGATGTTAGCCTACAGCAGCAGCTGCAGCCATTACTTCTCTTATGACTTTCAACATATGGCACATAGCTTATAAATAGTGCTACAGTTGGATTCCAGCCATTGGTGCCTTGCACAAATCATGATGCCCCATGTATGGCTATCAGATGGGGTAAAATGGTTTCAACTCACAGGGGAAAACAACCAGATTTGAAGAAAGACTTAATTCTAGGATATGTAAATACTGATTTTTTGCTATTCATATGATTAGAAAAATCATTAAAGCCCTCCTACATGGCTGTGTGAGTCAGGGATATGACCATTAACAGTTTCTGATACACTCATAAAGCCTGATCCAACAGACCATACTCATTGTGAACTAGCTATGAGAAGGCCTAAATGGAATTCACCCACTCAAAGATGATTTAGAACTCCATCAAAGTATCAATTACTGTTCTTCTTTGTGGCACTTTAAAGATGTTTTGCTTATATTATATTCTCTTAAATGCACTATGCCATGATGCCAAGAATTTGTTATTTATTCTATTTTCTTTTAAGATACCTCAATGCTTTTGAGAATGAATTGAATAATTCAATAAGAGCAAAAGCCTCAAATTCTTTTTTACTGAACTTGTTCTACAATTTGGTGAACATAAATGAAATCATTATGGATCATCGCTGTGTAAGTCTTTCAGCTAACTATAAAATGGAAATCATCTGCGGCATTGTAGTACATCACAAAGACCACTGGACAGGGCACATGAAAATGGGATCTGCAGATTTTCATGACCAGAATCACTACTCTGGTAATGTCCTATTACTATCTTAGTTGTAGGCAAGTATTCTAACTTCTGTGTATTTCATTTTCTTAAGTATATTATGAGAGTGCTGCACTTAATTATTTTTAATTTTACTACCAGCTCCAAAATTCTATAATACTATACTTTCCTCTACCTACTTCAGAGGGATTCTTTTTAAGAAATGTGCTGAATGTCCAGGATGAAGTACCATATAAGCATATTAGCAACATTTTTTCTAATTTCAGTAAGAGATAGGTAATAAGAGAAGTGCTAGAAGATTCCTATCCAAAAATAACCTACTCACAGATAAATTGGACACTACTACTCATTCCTTAGTATTACTCCTTAAGAGTACAACAGACTAAGATTTTTAAAGGTTTTTATCTTTGAAGTATAACAGCATGCACTTTTAGAATGGTGGCTATGTGTTGTTTTTTTCCCTCCACATAAAATAAAAAGCCACTGTTTACTGATATATACAAAAACACATTAACTGCTCCCTACAGTCCTCTATTAAACACAGACACCTCAAATACGAATAATACATTAAAATCTTAATACATCTGAGAATGAATTTATGACAATGTTTTCTCCCATGGGTAGATGAAAAAGAGGCAGCATAAGAACACTGAGTATGAGGGATTTTGAAAAGACAGGAGGTAGCAGAAGCCAATTTGCACCTCAAAGTTTAGGAGGGACCTGGAAGGAGATATACCCAAGGCATTTATCTACAGCAGATGGTCTGTGCAGTGTCTGCCTCTACCTGCAGGGAGGTAGAAAGACCTACTGCTGACTTAGAGAAGTTTTGGAATGTCTTTGTTCAAATCTTCTCAAAATGTATCCCTATTATTTCCCTAGATATTTGTTCTTTTAAAAAGAATAGCAACGGGCAGCTAGGTGGCGCAGTGGATAAAGCACTGGCCCTGAATTCAGGAGGACCTGAGTTCAAATCCGGCCTCATACACATAACACGTACTAGCTGTGTGACCCTGGACGAGTCACTTAACCCCACTGCCTAGCCAAAAAAAAAAAAAGAATAGTAGTGGGTAATAAAGACCAAAGACCTATTTTTAGTGGTACTCCATAGTTTAATCTACCGATTGTAGCATCTGTCAGTATCTAATATGGAAAAAACAACATGTAAAATTCTATACTCTAGGCAAAAACTCATTACAATAGTAATTGTAGAGGACAGTTAGACTGTCTTATTGAATTGATAAATCTCATAGCTCTTGTCTACAATAATGTGACAGGACACATACAGGATATACCCCTTTTGTTGTAGAGACAGAACAAACCTTAAGTATAAGCAAAATTAAGCCTTTTCTGATAAAATTAAGTTACTGATCTTAAAATCAAAAAGGAGTTTAATCTATTACATTGTTTACTACATTAATAGATAATTTTTTCATTGACCTCTTCACACCTATTAACCAGCTAAGCCTTACAATATCATCGATATATTTTCCCAGTCCTCACTGTATAGCCAGGGGAATTTATACTAAAGGAGAATATTCCACTAGGCCAGAGGTTTGTGTCAGAGACAGAAATCAAAAATCAAGGACAAAAACCTGGGGACTACTTTTTGGAGGGTTTGATTCTAGAAGTTTTTTCTAGGTCAGTTGAAATCCTATATGTTTGTCTTCTTTTGCTCTTTTGAAATACTTTTAAGGTTGTGATCAATAGTAGGTATGTATTTACTTTAAAAAATAATAAAAAAAAATGAAAGGAGTCAGCTTCTACCTTGAGGTGGGGAATAGTCATCAGAATCTGTGTCACTTTCACTGCTATCTTCTACCAGGAAACTGGGATAGTTCCAGGACATGCTCAGGATTCCATCTGACTCATGAAGGAGAACATGTGCCAACATCCTGCCATGGCAGTCCATAACAATCACTTGCCCATCAGCAGTGCCAAACAGTACCTGAAAACAAAGTCACTAAAATAGTTACTGGAGGAGGAGGAAGGAAACTTCTCTTTCCAACAAATGTGACTGCCTCAACTCGAGTCTAAATTAGTATAGCTCATTAGGCAGAGCACCAGAATTTTGGAGGAAGTGTGGTACAGTGAGGGGTTTTGAGTGCTGGGTATGGAGTCAGAAGACCCAGGTTTGAATCTCAGAACTGCTTTCTGAGTGAGCCTGGGCAAATCAATTACTCTCTTTGGGCTTCAGTTTCCTTACTTGTAAAATGAGGAAAGTAGAAAACAATAATAGTTTTACATACATTATATCATTAGATCCTTACAACTACTCTGTGAGGTACAGATAATAATATCCTAATAAGAATCTGAGACTCAGAGAGATTAAGTGATTTACTTGTTCGGATCTGGCCTAGGTGTTCTTCACTGCAAGTCTGTCACTCTATTTACTATGCCATGCTATCTCTAGGCAGAGTTTGAGTGATATAAGTTCATGAAATAGTCCTCTGAGCATGACCTACATATTTTTAAAGATAACAAATGGAAAGGGGGCTCTCTTCCAGTGTTGTAACCAGGAGCAATAGACTAAGGATAAGATAGTAAGAAAAAACAAGGCAGCAAATAGTCTTAAAGTTAGGCAGTAAAAGGAGAGAAGTAGGTATGTACCCAGATAGGTTAAGAGGGCCAAAAGGTGTCTTCTAAGATAGAAAAGTCCTATGCATGTTAGAAGACAGAAGAGAAGGAATGACTAGAGAGTAAGAGACTGAAAGAAACAGCAAACTAGAAAGGAAGCTGATTTGGCAGGTTTGGGGACATGATGAAAGCCATCAGCATAAAAAAGTACTTCAAACAATAAGCCAATAAATATCTATTAAGTTTGCTATGTGCCAGGCACACAATAAGAAATTCACTTCATTCACAGATAATACCAGTCCAGAGGGAACACTGAGTAACAGGTTTGTGAAGGAATTCAGAGGCTCAAGAATTCATAGCAAAGGAATTAGATCTTCAATTGTTCAGAGCCAATATTGTAACAGTTTGAAAACAGTGTAAATGCTTTTTGTATTATAGGCATCAAGATTCAAGTTTTGAATATTCTCTGTCCACAAACAACTGTTCTTCTTGAGCCACGGCTGATGCTGAATTCTTGAAGGGCATGTTAGTGCAGCAAAAACTTCAACAGGTTCTAAAACATTTATAGGGCTTGGAGTACAATCCCAGTGACAGATTGCTCCCGCTACCTGAGGACTAGATTAACTAAACACGCATAGGACTGTTACTGTAAGTTTGTTAACTAGACAATGAAGTTACTTGTCCATTCTGTCCCATGGAATTGGAAAATACAAACTTGCCCTTGGTACTGTGTGGTTCCTTTTACTATGGACAGTGGTGGAATTTCTACAGTGATCTGTTCTTAGTGTTCATGTTTGAGGAAATAAACCTGGACTTTAACACTTTAGAATCTAATGTACTATGTGGGAGAGTTAAAAATAGCACTCCAGAAAATGAATTCAGAGCAATAGTTAGATTTGGAGATATGTGTGTGTGTGTGTGTGTGTATACATATATACACATATACATATATATAAACTGTGTTGCCTCACATATAGTTTTCACAGGCACACACATATAAGAAAATCATGAGTGAGGCAACATAATTTTTAAATTATGCTGCCTCACAATGGCTTTCAGATACAGATAGCTGTGTGCATACACATGCACATACATATATGTATATGCACACACACACATAAGAAAACCATGTGTGAGGCAACATAATTTTTAAAACACTCAGGGTACTTTTTAAAAATTTTATTTTTCAAATTAAACAGACATTAATTTTCTCTCCCTTCTACTGCCCTTCCACTGAAAAAATAGAAAGGAAAACCAATACCCTTGTTAAAATATATAGAGAGACAAGCAAAACAAATTCCCATGTTGTCAATATCCAAAAATTAATGTCTCATTCTGTATCTTGAACATTATTACCTTTCATGAGTAGGTAGGCAGCATGCATAATCATCAGTCCCCTAAAATCAAAGTTGATCAATGTACTGTTCAGAGCTGCTATAAATATTTTTTGCACATGAATCCTCTTGCTCTTTCTTTTTAGGGGTACAGGCCTAGCAGAGGTATCGCTGAGTTAACTGTGGAGTTCAGTATTTTTCATATTCCTTTTCTGCCAACTTGCCAATTTGGAATTATACACAAAAAGTTACTAAACAGTGCATGCCCTTCTATCTAGATGTACCACTGCTGGCCCTATACCCCAGAACAGATCCAAGAAAGAGGAAAAGGTCCTTCATGCATACAGATATTTCTATCACCTCTTTTTGTGGTGGCAAAAGACCAGAAACTAAGGAAATGTCCATCATTTGGGGAACGGCTGAAGAAAGTGGTGGTATGTGAATGTGATGAAATATTTGCTGTAAGAAATGAAGAAACAGATGATTTCCAAAAGATGTGGAAAGATCTATATGAACTGATGGAGAGTGTGGTGGGGAGAGTTAAAAGAACAATTTATACTATAATATCAATAATTCAACAATGAACAATCTTGAAAACTTTTGTAATCTGATAAAAACAAAATGAACAGAACCAGAACAATTTATATGATAACAACAACACTGTAAAAACAAACTCTGAATGCTTTAAGAGCTATGATAAGTACCATGTCCATCCACGAATCCAGAGAGCTGATGATGCTATCCATTACAGAGCGGTGGTGGATTTTGGGTGCAGAATGTGACATATTTTTGTATGCAGCCATTAAGGAAATTTATTTTGTTTGACTACGCATATTTGTTATAAGAAATTTGTTTTTCTTGGAAAGACTTACATGAACTGATGCTGAGTGAAATAAGCAGAACCAAGAGAACATTGTATACAGTGACAGCAACACTGTGTGGTGACTAACTGTGCTAGATATAGCTTTTCTCAGCAATCTAAAACAACTCCGAAAGACTCACGATGGAAAATGCTACCCACATCCAGAGAAAGAACTATGGCGTCTGAATGCAGATCGGAGCAGACTATTTGCGCGCTCGCTCTCTCTCTCTCTCTCTCTCTCTCTCTCTCTCTCTCTCTTTTTTGCTTGTTTCTTCTTTCTTGTGGTTCCTCCCATTGGTTCTAATTCTTCTTTACAACATGACTAATGTGAAAATGAGTTTAATATGACTGTATATCTGAAGCCTATATCAGACTGCACAACATCTTGGGGGGCAGGGAAAGGAGGAGGGAGAAAATTTAGAACTCAAAATCTTTTGGAAGTGAACGTTGAAAACTAAAAATTAATTGATTAAAAATATATATTTGTTTCTCCCAATGGTTGGGGTAGGAGAGAGAGAAATAAATTTGTTAATTTTTTAAAACTACAAAAGCATGGGTGCAGTGGATAGAGCTCCGGCCTTGGAGTCTGAAGGTTATGAGTTCCAATCCAGCCTCAGACACATAACACTTACTAGCTGTGTGACCCTGGGCAAGTCACTTAACCCTACTGCCTAACAAAAACAAAAAAATTTAAAAAAAAAACAGAGAAGCGAAATATTGCATGACTTTTCAGATGAGGTCATTATTTACTTTAAGTTTTACTGACGTTTTTACATTACAAAGATTTATCTATAACTCCCACTTTGTGAAAGGTGTTTTGTTACAAAATAAAAGTCAATTAAACTGGGGAAAGAGTAAATCTTCTACAACTTCCTTTCAGTCTTAATGAGCTGAGTACAGCACACTTCAACCTCTTCCATCTCTGCCACAGCTTAGCTCTCCTTTCAGGTTCTCATTTCATTCTTTCCAGCTCAGTACATTAAGTCTGAGGTAAGGCTAAGGATACTACTGTCTCCTTGCTTCTTCTTCTTTGCTCTACAATAGGCTGTGTGTCTCTTTTAAAAACTTCCAAACAAAACTCAAGCTCCCCTTCTGATTCAAAGACCTTGACAAACAAAATTGTTCTCAGGGCTGCAAAAGAATGCTTATCCTTCTGAACTAAAAATGTCAAAATGCCAGTCAGTTTTCAAATCTCTATTATACACGTATTAGGCATCCTCCTATGTGCCAAGCTCTGGAGATAGGTAGACAAAAACAAAAATATCCTTCTGGGGAGAAAATGCATACACAGGTAAATAAGTATAAAACATGTAGAAAATAAATACAAAGCAATATAAGGGACCTACAAACAGGGGGATGGGAAAATATTTCTAATTTTTGAGACAAATCTTGAAAAAAGCTAAGTATTTTATATTTTAAATTTCCTTATCTTAGTCTAACATACCTGAGTATCAAAGTTAAGGGTGGAAGAAGCAAAAAATAGATGAGAACATCAGAGTTTTAAAGAAAATTTACAAACAACACAAAAGAGGTACTTGGGAACGACATGTATAATTCAGAAGATTTCACAGATAATTGGAGTATTTGTGATTCAACCTAAATTTCAAGTTTTCTACTATTTCCATAATTTTAGTTCTCTTCATATCTAACCATTTTGAGTAAATAAACTCACAAAAGTGAACAGCAGATTTAGTCAAACTATCAACTGAACAAAAAGCATTTCTTATAACTAATTTTGATAATCTATACCTAACAGAAAAGACTTTTTAGAAAAGCTTACCACATAAAGTCCTTGATCACAGAAAAAAATTTATCTTTTCAGTGATTTTCTTCTAGTTATACCCTTAACAACTTATCCTAAACTGTGTCAATTATTAAGTTTCCTTTGAAACTGTAGAACTCTTCTTTTCTCTGCTCTTTTGATTTCTTTGCTGGATCATCTTCTTCCTCTCACCCTCTAATTTTGGACACGACTCAAGATTGAGTCAGTAGCTGGTTCCCTGATTTTTCTCCTAATTGGCATATCTATTTCACCAGCCTCTAAACTGATGACTCTCAAACCTGTATTTCCAGTCCCATTCTGTCACTTGATTTAGTGATTCATTTCTGAAATGTTGCTACAACTACAAAGAAGAGATTTTAGAAGGGACATAAAAAAATAAGCTTGTAAAATCT